CTCCCACTCTCCCTCTTCCTCACGACACCAATGCTCTTATCTCCCTCTGTTCCTCGCTGTTCAATCGGTTTCGCCACCGCTGACACGCGCGTGTCTCTTCCGCAGCCGATTCTGAAGGAGGGTGGCAACTACATCATCGAGGGCCTGGACTCAGAGAAGAAGGTGACGCTCACCTTCTCCATGAGTCATGAGAGTGGCTCGTTGGCTGACGCGCTCGACGTGTTTAAGGTAAGCACTTAAATGCATTATCTGGAAATTGGGCCATGATAGGCATGCATGCAATGCATTATGAGTTGGCGCGCTTAATGATCGTCCCAAGTAGCGGCTGAAACCTTAGAAGTCGTGAAACTAGTTGCGCTTTTCCCTTTTAATTGAAGAGGACGCCAGGAGCAAATGTGATTTATTTTCGCACGTATGAGGCCACTTCAGCTTGTACTGTCGCAGCTTCTTACACCCGATTGCAGTCGGTGTGCATACCCGCTGTCGCTAACGCCTTGGCTCTTAATGCAAGCTCAGGCAGATGCCAAAATTGATTTACAGATCAATCTGGAAACAGCCACTGATCCGCAGCGGTTTCCCAACCGGGATGCCTGGTGGTTCGATTCCTACCACCTCCGGAAAATTTTGTGAACCCAACTTCCGCAGCAGCCTGAGTAGCCTAACATGTCAAATGGTAGCTGAAAACCCTCTCGTCGATCAGGGGTCGTAAAACCGTCTACCCCGGCTCAAAACATTAATGCGCGAGCACGGACGGTTGGTTTTCTGTTTCTCCGGAGCGCCATTGTCAGGCAGTGACCCCTTGTTTTTGTCGGAGACCACAGGCGAACCTGTTTTGCCGCGCACTCCGCCGCCCTTATCGATAGACGATCGAGACGCCCACTGTGCGCGGGTCGGTGGTGAGAACGCGAGCTCCCTGGACTCGGGGCGTTCTCATGACGCCTGACACCATCGCCCACCGTCAGTTGTTAATGGTGTCCATTTGTGACGACGCCACCTCCCGGTAACATCATATGGACCAAAAGTATCGCTGAATCAGCCGGGTGTTACTGATATATCCAGCTTTTCCATGGTCGAACAGAAGCTGCTCGTAATGTGATCTCGAATAATCTTGCAATTTGAACATTCAATCGGATCAGTGACCCATGTAGGACATGTTCAAGCTTGAGTGGATATAGATGCTTTCATAGTTTAGCAGCACGCCCTTATCGAAACGGATAGCAGAATAAATTCAAAATCAGTGTTTGTATTTTGAATTAACTTCTGCTATTCGTTTCGGTAAAGGCATGTTGCCGGAAATATCAACGCGTCTGTATCTCCATTCTGTGTTTTTTTTACGAGGAATCTGGCTGTTATTACTGTTTTATCTTTTTGCAGCCAAGCATACATACCAGCCGGCGCCAAACACCCGTTCACATAAATTAACGAATAGCTATGCGATATCTTTTAGAGTCGTCCGCATACCTAGTAGATTGACAACATGATGTAGCACAAATTGCTCGCCTCAACTCCTGGCGGTTGCACCAAATTTGTTTCCCATTTATGTATCTATTCTGACACTGACATAACTATTGGATTAGCTCCTGAGCCACAGACACAACTGCTTGCGTTACAAACGAATCACACTGACATAACTATTGAATTAGCTCCTGAGCCACAGACACAACTGCTTGCGTTACAACCGAATCACACTGACATAACTATTGGATTAGCTCCTGAGCCACAGACACAACTGCTTCCGTTACAACCGAATCACACTGACATAACTATTGGATTAGCTCCTGAGCCACAGACACAACTGCTTTCGTTACAACCGAATCACACTGACATAACTATTGGATTAGCTCCTGAGCCACAGACACAACTGCTTGCGTTACAAACGAATCACACTGACATAACTATTGGATTAGCTCCTGAGCCACAGACACAACTGCTTTCGTTACAACCGAATCACACTGACATAACTATTGGATTAGCTCCTGAGCCACAGACACAACTGCTTTCGTTACAACCGAATCACACTGACATAACTATTGGATTAGCTCCTGAGCCACAGACACAACTGCTTGCGTTACAACCGAATCACACTGACATAACTATTGGATTAGCTCCTGAGCCACAGACACAACTGCTTGCGTTACAACCGAATCACACTGACATAACTATTGGATTAGCTCCTGAGCCACAGACACAACTGCTTGCGTTACAACCGAATCACACTGACATAACTATTGGATTAGCTCCTGAGCCACAGACACAACTGCTTTCGTTACAAACGAATCACACTGACATAACTATTGGATTAGCTCCTGAGCCACAGACACAACTGCTTTCGTCACAAACGAATCACACTGACATAACTATTGGATTAGCTCCTGAGCCACAGACACAACTGCTTCCGTTACAACCGAATCACACTGACATAACTATTGGATTAGCTCCTGAGCCACAGACACAACTGCTTCCGTTACAACCGAATCACACTGACATAACTATTGGATTAGCTCCTGAGCCACAGACACAACTGCTTGCGTTACAACCGAATCACACTGACATAACTATTGGATTAGCTCCTGAGCCACAGACACAACTGCTTGCGTTACAACCGAATCACGCTGACATAACTATTGAATTAGCTCCTGAGCCACAGACACAACTGCTTTCGTTACAAACGAATCACGCTGACATAACTATTGAATTAGCTCCTGAGCCACAGACACAACTGCTTTCGTTACAACCGAATCACACTGACATAACTATTGGATTAGCTCCTGAGCCACAGACACAACTGCTTGCGTTACAAACGAATCACACTGACATAACCATTGGATTAGCTCCTGAGCCACAGACACAACTGCTTCCGTTACAAATGAACCCAACAACTTCCAGAAAAACAAAGTGAACCTGGAGCACATCGAGTCGCGGTCCTCCCACCGCAGCGACGAGTACGAATTCATTCTGGAGATCAGCACCGAGTCGCCCAACGTCAGCAAAGCGCTGGAGGAGCTGCGAGAGAAGTCCACCTACTTCCAGATCGTCTCCAGAAACTACAAGAACAATGCCGGTGAGGCGTTGCGGCGCCGCGGCCGGCCGCGGCCTTGAGTGGCGAGCCGGCGCGCCACTATCGCCTGCTCCATCTGCCCGAGCTGGGACAGGCGGGCCTGGGGCTTCTCCAGGCAGCCGTTGGCTTGTGATCGATAGCCGGCCGGGCCGTCGGCAGGAACAGCTATCACTCGCAGTGTCGTCACCTGGCCGTCAGCGCCTCGCCGGGCCGCGGTGTTACCTCACTGAACAGCCCCAACTGGGTGCTGGCAGGGAAGAGCGACGGACGCCCACCCGGTCGCAGCTGCATCATGCAGTGCTCCGAAACGACCCCATTCTGCTCTCTGACCTCAGTTCCATGACGTCTCTCGTGACCAGCTGCTGTCACTCTGACGCCCATTCGGCGGGCGTGGGAACTGCAGCTATGCCGGGCGCTGCCCCAGGCTGGAAAGGTCGGACGCCGATGCAGGCTGAGTGCAGGCCGATGACGGGCGGCGCCGGCCACGGCAGGTTCGCCGAGCGCACGATCTAGAGTCCGACCGAGGCGCAGAGGGCTGACTTGGAACACGATGCCGGCGTGATGGCGTTCAGACACGCCAGCCCGCGGCACAGTGGAGGCCAGCCGAAAGCGGGCCTCTGGCGCTGCTCTCTCGAGACTGGCACAAGGCAACTCCGCTGGGTTCAACCCAAGCTCATTTCAATTTGGCTCGTTGCATAACTAACCTCTCAGCACATTATCGCAATCTGTCGCGCCGTCCAAAACAGGTCTGTGGCGAAGCACAGGGCATGGGGATGTGTCACCCGGGCATGGCGCCGGCTGAGCAGGGGCTATCGTAACATGTTAACTCAGGGTAGGGGGCTCAGTCACACCAGCCCCCACTCTCCACCGCGACCCTGCCCTCTCCCCACCAGTACACAGCAAAATCATTCACAGTGAAACGCTGCTTTACTAGCAGCGCGCGGGCGACCAGACGTGTCAGCAGCCCACACCGGCGCTAAAGAGAGCACGCTTGGCGCAATTTGGACATGTCTGGACTCTGTTGACCTGTGGCCCGTAGGCCACAACGGTCATGACCTACCGTTCCGTACTTTAGCACCGGCAAATCGACCACGGCGTGTTGATTGGTGTACTTTTGTTGTTGTTGTTGATCTTCTTCACTTTTGTTGTCGTTAAAGTTTATCTTCGCTCTTGAGAGGGGGGGGGGGGGGGGTGAGGGGACTGAGGCCTGGGTCACTGAATATCAAGTTTACACCTTCTTTGCTAAGTTGCCTTCGGCAATTCGACAACAGTGTGTCGATTGCTGTACTTAATTTTGTGATCCAATGGTTCTTTGGCGTGTCCGCAGCCCACGTAGGTTTCGTTGAACCGTGGGCGGCGACGTCCACATCCCAAAATCTCTAACTATTTCTCTCAAGTAAATCGAACGCGTCACGTCGTTATTGCAGGGTCTTACCTAAAGGTGGTAAAGGTTGAAAGGTGAACTTTTATGCAATCACGGCACGTTACAATTGTTTTTGAACGTGCCAGAGTTTTCTCTTGAGCGAAGGGGAGCTACGAGATTCGCGAAACGCCTCCCCGAAGACGAGTTCCTAAAATCACCATGTGTTTAGAGTAAAGGGGGAACAAAATGAACAAAAACACCGCGATCTATTGACCGTGGTCTGCACTAACTGGCTGGTTCGGATGCGCGCCGGGCAGCGGCGGGCGTGGTGCCCTGGTATCCGCAGAAGATCTCCGACCTCGACAAGTTCGCGGACCAGATCCTGTCCTACGGCAGTGAGCTCGACTCGGACCACCCCGGCTTCACCGACGTCGAGTACAGGAAGCGGCGCAAGGAGTTCGCCGACATCGCTTACAACTACAAACAGTGAGTCATGTATCATACCCCATTATCAGTAACAGAGTCGGGTTGATATCGCCTGTATCCGCGGAGGGTCCGGCCGGAGCCGTGACACTTCATGGTACTTGCTCGCGTGATGTGTTGAGTTCTGAAGGCACGCGATGTTAGATAAACTTCTTTTAATAAACTTGTCAGGGCCATGGCAAAAAAGAACGAAAACCATGTAGCGAAATTTGCATAAGATGGTAAAACAGAATAGAGCATGCTGTGGTAATGAAAACGGTGACGATCGGCAACTGATCGAGATCACTGCTTCGTCATGAATGCACTAGCTGTGGACGCGCAGCCGATGTAGACGAACGTAAGTTTAGCCCATGGCCAATGTGAGTCAATGAGCAACTAAATCTGACCGCATGGCTCACTACGCACTCCATCAGCGACATCCGTGGGTCATTTCCAGCGGCACGCCCATACCGCGCGTCGAGTACAGCAAGGATGACGTCGATACGTGGGGCAAAGTGTTCCGCCGACTCACCGAGCTGTACCCCACGCACGCCTGCAAGGAGCATAACCGGGCCTTCCCGCTGCTGATCGAGCACTGCGGTTACCGGGAGGACAACATCCCCCAGCTGGAGGACATCTCAACGTTCCTTAAAAGTGGGTGAACGTCGTTGCTTGCCTTCTCATTCAACCGTCCAAAGCTCTTGACGTGCCTTCACACACTCCAGAAAATAAGATTGTCTTTGTAATTGCTGGCAAATGACCTCGCGTGCAGTTGTTGCTTAACGCTCAAGTCCCTGCCAGTCATTCATGACAAATACGCTGGGCTTTTATGCGCTCTGGGTATGATCCAGCATAGTTGCTTGTAGCGAATCCCAAGTTAGGATGTCGGCACGCTCTGTGGGCAGTCCCGGCTGTTTCAGATGAAGCCTTAGTCTGCACCACCTCTGCTGCCCAGGTTGCGCGGACAGCCAGTTTGTACGACAGGCGCCCCCTCTATTTCACGCTAAGCCGTCCCTGTTCCCCACATCGCACGGCCTCCACACCGTACCACCCCGCTTGGCGGACAGCATAACTCCCCGCTGCACCGCACCTCCTCCCTTCACTTCACGCCGTGCTCCTGCGCTTCGCAAGCAGCGTAACTCCCGCTGTACCGCACCCCCTCCCTCCGCTTCACGCCGTGCTCCTGCGCTTTGCAAACAGTGTAACTCCCCGCTGTACCGCACCCCCTCCCTCCGCTTCACGCCGTGCTCCTGCGCTTTGCAAACAGTGTAACTCCCCGCTGTACCGCACCCCCTCCCTCCGCTTCACGCCGTGCCCCTGCGCTTCGCAAACAGCGTAACTCCCCCGCTGTACCGCACCCCCTCCCTCCGCCTCACGCCGTGCTCTTCTGTTGCGCAGGCAGCACGGGCTTCACCCTGCGTCCCGTGGCCGGCCTGCTGTCGTCGCGCGACTTCCTGGCGGGCCTGGCGTTCCGCGTGTTCCACTCGACCCAGTACATCCGGCATCCAAGCCGGCCGTTCTACACGCCTGAGCCGGACGTGTGTCACGAGGTGCTGGGTCACGTGCCGCTGCTGGCCGACCCGAGCTTCGCCCGCTTCAGTCAGGAGATCGGCCTGGCCTCGCTCGGCGCACCAGACGAATACGTGGAGAAGCTGGCCACGGTGAGTGGCTGACACCGGCCGCGTACCGGGCGACGACGGCCAACTGGCTCACACCGGCCAGCTGGCGGTCAACAGCGATACATCAGCTGATTTGGTTGAAGTTAGCTGGCGGTCAACAGCGATACATCAGCTGATTTCGTTGTAGTTTTGTACGGCTGTTGGTTAACAGTCGCTGTCAGCTCGGGAAAGATGTAGAGCTTGCTCGGGATTACATGCGTCACAGCGTCAGGGCCACGTTTCATCTGCGCGTGACGATGGTACTGGCACGCGGCCGAATCGTTTGACGCAATGCGAGAGCTTCAGGACCGGGGTCAATTCATGCATCAAGGCTCCCTGGTTCACGGTGAATGTGCGAGTACCGCCACACGCTGCAGCTATACTGGCTGGCTCAGGTTGACATCTGCATGTGCCGCGGTAGTACCGGCTTACAGTTGATTTCTATGTGTGTCACGGTGTCACCAGCTCACAGTGTCACTGGTCCACATTTGATTCCCTTGCACTTTGCAGTGTTGCTGGCTCACGGTCAATGTTTACATTGAATGTAGTGCGACTGGTCCACAGCCGATCTCCATGTTGTTGCAGCGCAGCTGGTTCACTCTCCATCTTTGTTGGTTTGTCACAGCTGGTTCACTCCATCTTTGCACTGCGATTCTGCTGACTCGACGTCGACGTTTATAGTGCAGTGCTATTAGCTCACGGCTGATTCCATACCGCACTCCTACTGGTTCATGGCGGTCTCTGTACCGTTGTGCTGATGGCTGACGGTCGATCTCTGCACCGCACCGCTGCTGGCTCACGGTTAATCTCTGCACCGCAGTGCTACTGGTTCACGGTCGAGTTCGGCCTGTGCCGGCAAGACAACGAGCTGAAGGCGTACGGCGCCGGTCTGCTCTCGTCGTTCGGCGAGCTCGAGTACTGTCTCTCCGACAAGCCGGACGTGCGCGAGTTCGTGCCCGAGAAGACGGGCGTGCAGAAGTACCCCATCACTGAGTACCAGCCCGTGTACTACGTGGCCGACAGCTTCGAGGACGCCAAGGACAAGATGATGTGAGTAGCTGCCCGCGCGTTTCTCCGTGGCGTGCCCCAGCATCATTCTCCTTGTTGTAATAGTAGCTCGCTGGTACGACCGAAACGATTCGGTTTGATCGAATGTGAAATAGAATATGCCATCACGTTCTTAAAAATGATCAGTCGTAAAACTACGAGCAAGTTTGCGTCATGTCTGGGTTACGATGTTGCCACTGTCGTAATGCTGAATAACAACGCCCCGTTTTTCCCCGACAGGCTACCACATGCCCAATGCAAACCGCGCTGAGTGCAAACTCCAGCAAAGCGCACTTGTTGAAAGACAGCTAATCGTTATTCCCGCTTTCAGAAACTTCGCCGCCACCATTCCACGCCCATTTTCGGTGCGCTACGACCCGTACACTCAGCAGGTCATCACGCTCGACTCCCGACCTCAGGTCGAGGAGCTCATCGGCGACATCAACTCGGAGATGAAGATCCTGCTGGACGCCATAAAAAAGTTCCGCTAAATGCAAACGCAGCGGCGGAAGGTCACTCGGAAGCAAGTTTTACTTTGTGGAGTGCCCAACAGATGGCTCTCAAGCCCAGCAACGTCTCTGTCCACATCGTGTTTCTGTCGTGTGGGTGGTGTAAAATGTGTGAATGCTTTCTATATCGGATATTAGGCGGCGGCGCTCTGTAGACGGTAGGTGTCCCGACGAGCGGCACTTCGCGCACCGGGCCTGGGGCCAGGACGCCCAGAGCATTGTGGAATGTTTTCTCCAGTGGAGTCGACCCACATGCTGCCTGAAGCACTGGCACCAAGAAAGCTCAGAATTTGGCACACGTGATGCATAGCATGTATATACCACCTCTGCATTTCCGTGGGGTAAACACGTTCTGTGCGGGGTGGTTGAAATTTCAACAACACAGTGCATCTGCAGCTGTACATATAGTACAAGCATTGAATTGTATGTTTTGGTTGGAGCAGGCCAAAAATACAAGGGCGTAAGGAAAATCTGACCAAAAATTACGCGTGAAGGGCTTCCAACACACGAAAATTACTTCTAGCCACACCTTTCCTGGCCACAACACTGTTTTTCACCTGCCAGCCACGACAGTTTTGAAAGCATGTCCCATTTGTCCCATGTAGCCAAATTGCTGGTCTTCCAACACGCCAGCCACTCGCCTGCACTTGAACAATCATCTGAACAACACGATCAATCGTGCGCCGATATCAGCAGCCCGGCACCGTAGCACACAGCGGACAGAGTCGGGCCACACAAGCGGGGAAGCCACTGGACGGGGCACGGGCGGCGATCAGGCGGCGCGCGGCTCATTCTGCCCCGACAGCGTCACCAGACCCGCCGGATCCGCCCGCTACCGACGTACGCACGCCACACATGTGGGGCAAAACACACCCCACACACAGGATGGCTTCACCACACATAAACGTAACGCCCCTTCGTTCGGCGATAATTCGAAGAACTAGCGTTGCCGCGGCCTGCCCGCAGGTGGCAGCACGGCACCGTTCGGCTCACACCATTGTCCGCGACGGGTCGCCCGACACTCTGTCCAGGAACTGAAACAAGACCCGCCGTCATCAAACGCGATAGCTGTGACAGCGCACCGGACATCTGAAGGGGCCATTTTGTAGCACGATGTGCCACGGCAAGCCGTATGTTCGGCGATTTTTCTTAGTTGAAACAAGTCAAAACACAGCGACACAAACATCTATTTTAGCACGCTCAAAATAACGATTCCGATACTGGACAATAGCTAGGCGCCACGCGTGTGTGGTCAAGTCCACGCGCATGGTCAAAACAAGATAACATTGCTCCACTTACTGGACCAATGAAGGGGAGATTCAGAAATGACCCTATGACTGGAATCCGTCTTAAAAAGTTTATGACGACAGGGAAGAATCCGCTGTAACAAAGAACATCGGAAATTATGCCACCAACCGTGACTCAAACACAGACAATAAGACAGAACAAGTTATGTACCGGCGAAAATTGCCAAGACCATGCTGAGCCAAAACTTCTTTTAGGCACTGGATACGCATTATGATGCGCTTAGTTCTCACATCCCCGATAACTTCGGGTAAAAATCATAGCAAAACACATTCACGTATTCATGTAACGTGTCGAACATGTCGGATGTGTTACACCGCTCTGATTATGAAAAGGGGCGCGACGTACGCCAGCAGACGCACGAAGGCTGCCGACCCTCTATTCACCGCTGGCCGTGAGGGAAGGCTGCCGACCCTCTATTCACCGCTGGCCGTGAGGGAAGGCTGCCGACCCTCTATTCACCGCTGGCCGTGAGAGAAGGCTGCCGACCCTCTATTCACCGCTGGCCGTGAGGGAAGGCTGCCGACCCTCTATTCACCGGTCACCCTCCTCAGCCGCGCTCACTCGGCGTGACCCGGAGAGCGGCCGGCGCGCCGGCGGGTCGATCGTGGCACGAGACGCCGATCAAAGCGGGACAGGTGGCGACAGCGGCACTGCCCACAGTCGGCCGGAGCCGGTCCGCTGCCAGACGGCTGGCACCTGTGACCTCCCCTCCCCCCCCCCCTCCCGACAGTCGGCCGGAGCCGGGGGTCCCAGGGGCGGACGGCGGCACTCGGCTCCCCACCAGCTGGAGACGGGACGGCGCTGGGGAGGAGCATCGCCGCATGCACACAACGCCGGACGCTAAGTCGGCCCCCACCAGAGGTTTAACCAACAACGGCACCCTCCCTCCAGCACGGCCGGACTCGGGCCACGCCAACCTGCCTCTTCTGCAATCCACTGCAAACTTCCAACAGTCAAGCCTCTGCCAATGCAGTACCGAATCATCCCATATTTGCAGCCAGGAGCCCCAGATCATATCTCGGCAACGAGCCCACCAAAAGCTGTCAGTCATAACCAAACACGGTATCATCCGACCGTTCGTCGAACAATGCCACTGCAGTCACTATCACGAGAGTTAAAGCGTCTGGGCATGGGCAGGCTTGTAGCCCGAGCTTTGCACGCCACTCCCAACGCAGTCATCCCACGCGCTTTACACGAGCCGGCCTAGCGGCGAACCCATGGTGAGAAGCACTCGGTACATGGCTTGGGCCAAAATGAATCGCCAGTGCAGCTGTACCCATCACCGGCCTCGTTTCCGGTCTTTTTCACGACACCCGAGGGGAACAAAATGGTCGTCCCACCATTGGGCTCCAGCTGCGCCACACCGCCAACGAGCACTTCACTAGGACGAACGGGCGGCGCTGCCACCCACCGACCACCTCCCTCTCAACACTGAGTGGCCAGACGTCGAGTCCAAACACCTTACAATTCTTCCATATATATATATATATATATATATATATATATATATATATATATATATATATATATATAATGTGTCTGATTAAAAATAACTGTTGATTCAGCATTGACGAGCTTTTTGACGCATCGTTCTAGTTTCCGGGTCTTGGACCTGGCACCATCGCTTAAATTAAAGATGGTTCGCACAAAATTACTCAAAGATTCATCGCTCCTGACATTCGAACGTTTCGAGATCCTCTTTCATCGCCGGAGAGGACCAAATGGCACAAAAAACAAGTTTTGAGTTTTAAAGGATAAACATTGTGTAATACTGTTGGAAAACATCTTTTGGTACGGAGAACATAAAAGAAACATAACTCATTAAAGTAAGACAGAATCCTATTTTCACTTTGATACATATAAAAAACACTCATAATGGGAACACTACAAAGACACAATGAGAACACTACTGCCACAATCGCATCAGTAGTGCTCACAGCCCACCATCTAATAGTTCGAGAGTTGTGCAGGCATTTGTCTGTCTGTGTAGGGCCGGAGAGAGTTCGTTCATGAATATGCTTTCCCAAATTTGGAGGCGCCTTCTGTCATTGCACGTCCGTAAAATGTCAGTGCTGTCTGTCAGTTGTCGTCGTGTCAATATCACGTCGCGTTCGTGTCGCATGATGTCCAGAGGTGCCCCATCACGTAAGTGCATTGTCAGGTGTCGTGAGAGTGTCGTTGTGGTGACGCCAATGTAGTGTATGGAACGAAGTTTGCAGCCTTCGATGTTGCACTTGAATTGTTGCTATATATATATATATATATATATATATATATATATATATATACATATACATATCATTTCTATCATTTCGGTCTCTCTCTCTCTCTCTCTCTCTCTCTCTCTCTCTCTCTCTCTCTCTCTCTCTCTCTCTCTCTCTCTCTCTCTCTCTCTCTCTCTCTCTCTCCCCCTGCGCGGGATGATCTTGAGCTTAAACAGAATTTGGTTCGGGCACGTGAACCTCACTGCACCCCATAGGTTCTTATGGCCCCCCCCCCCGATTTTACCCTAAGGACTGCTGACAACAGCCCCTGTTGGGTTCAAAAGCCGTTCGATCATGATTTAAGTTGCGTCAAAAACGATTACCCCAACAAGCTTGCCGATGGCTACAAGCAGGCTTTCACACATACCAGATGGCTGGCTTCAGTACATGATAGCGAATGTGGACAACAGTAATCACAAACGCACATCACCTTTTGCAACATCCTAACGAAGCTATGACATCAAATCGCCAAGAAAATGCTTGCAGATCACCGACTTTGCTTGCTTTCACCTCCCGCACCGACACCAAACCAGCTGGCAGCTATGCCCGATATGTGGGAGCTTGAAAGACACCGCCCAGCTTCAATTCCCTTCCGTCCACGTTGAATGATGCGGCACTGAATGGCTGTTGTCTGTCTCACTGCTGTGCTTATTTCCCAATGGTGAGATGGAAGCCAGCACGTCGAATTAGTTGGGCAACGTATAACTTCCCGTTAGTATGAAGATGGCCCCACGCTTACCGACCACCAGGGGCGAATCCAGGATTTCGTCGAGGGATGGGGCCACGCTTCATAAGGCCCCCCTCACAAAGAGTTCCCCGGATTTCGGCAACTTTATTTTTATAACTTATAACTAAGCGTAAAGCGTCTTTCATCGGAATGTTTCCACGGATTTAGTCCGATTTATTTCTACAGGTGAGTTCCACTTCACATTCTGTTGCCGAACTTTGATAGTTAAAGCGGTTTGAGGTGCCCCTTAACTAATTACGTCTTAAAATATGGGTTACGTAGACCGGAAATAAAGACTGCGGCACCTCATCGCCGCGAGATCTTGGTGCCTCTCCGGTCCAAGGGGGGGGGGGGGGGGGGGGCATGTCATCTTCCCCCTGCATCCCTCACTACCCACCATCACATTCAGCTCCACGCAGACGACCAAGAGAAACACAGACATTACATGATGGCTCAGAACCAAGAGAGTGGGAGAGACTGAGAGAGTGGAGGCCAACCTAGCACCCCATTTAACGCGGAAAGACACGCCGCACGAGCCCAGCCGGGAAGGCAGCAGCGCGGTTCATATCATACCTGAAAAGAACGACGAAGCCGTAGACCTCGACGAGCATGCCGACCAGCGGCCAGCCGAGGAGCACGATGAGGATGCCGCCGAAGAAGGACGCCGAGCCGCGCACCTTGTGCGACTGGAAGAAGAATCGGAACGTGCGCTCCAGGCCGATCACGAACGCCAGGCCCGACAGGAAGAGGATCTGCAGACAGAGTCGGCGGCGAGACCGAATCATAACGGGTGTCAGACTTTGTCTTACGAATGCAGGTCGCCCGGCGGCAGGAGGCGACAGCGGCGGCAGCACAATCCAGGGACGGGTTGCAGCGCAAGACATTATCAGGCAACAGCATCTGACGGACAGAACGGGCTGCGGCACAGGGTCACAGTAATGCAGCAGCCAAATATTCCTGAACCCCAGCCAGGTGCCACGGGCCAACACATGTGGATTTCAAAACGATAACATTGCGACTGGTGAACGAACGCCGTAAACCATATGTGAGAGGTTCCAAGCGACCAAGCCCCGGACAATTTCTGTTTCAGCCCAACTTCCTCACATATAATCTAAACGTAGTTGACCGATCGTGTCGTAATTAGTGCCAAACGAGTTGCGGCGGTTTCTGCACCAAATTACAACCAAGACACAAAAAAAACTCGCCGAGACACACGCGCTAACAAAGACTAAAAGGCAGGTTCCATAGCGTATTCCATCGTTTCTCCATGCCATGTATGAGCGAAATTACATGAAAAGCTTTGGGAAAGACATTCGCTATCAAAAGCCCTGCTCAAAAACACGACCCTTTCCTTTTAAAATTTCATTTCTCAGCTTCTCCGAGAGCAGAGTTTCTCTGAGTCTACAAATTTACAAAGATACAAATGTGACAGAACGACCTTTGCAAGTCATTACACCAACGTCATGCGGAAAATCATGACGGCCGCATCCCACAACTATGGAAGAACACCGATTCCGACCTTCTCCACCCGCCAACATTCCTGTGTCTTAGACCTGAAAACCACTTTAAGACATTCTAACAAAGAAATAGGGCTTCCTACACCGTACTAAGCACGCGGCCAGTTGTAAAACCATCTACAGAAGACAGTACAATGAACCCCGCGGAACACATTTGTGCCCAAGTAATTCCAGCATTTCCTCCCCGATCCGCAAACGAATTCATTAGGTTTTACATGGGTGAATAAGTAACGGTTAGGAGTCAAGTCGCAAATATAGTCAATGGTACATGATTTCCGAACTGCAGCCCAGAAACGGCGTTCTTTTCAGCCCTCCAACCACACATGAAAGGATTGACCCAAACAACCTATATAAGACACAAATATTCCACTACGCGTCAGTGCACTAAAACAACCTGTATACAATGCACCGAGTCAAGAGGCAACAGCCCGTAAACAACGGCAGAACGGCTTGTATGCTTCGCTCCCGCCACCCCACACAGGCTGGCAGCGGAGACGTCCGTCGAGAGGCGTCGCAGTAGTCTTCTGACTGCTGTTCCCAGTCACCGCCTACTACACCACCTGCTATACCGCCTGCTATGCCGCCCGCTACACCACCTACTACGCCATCCAAAACACTACCCCCTACAAAACCTACTACACCGCCTACTTCACCACCCACTACACCAACCACTACACCACCTACCATCCCGCCTACGATACCGCCCATTACACCACCTACTACACCGTCTTCTCCACCCCCACCACACCGCCTTCTCCACCGCCCACTACACCGACTTCCACACCGCCCACCACACACACTACGCCGCCGTCTTCACCGTCCACTACACCGTCCACTAAACCGGCTACTGCACCGCGCACTCACGTTCCCGATGGCCAGCAGGCCCTTGTCGAACAAGAACAGCACGCCCAGGAAGAGGAAGGCCACGCCGAACCCCACCAACCCGATGCCGATCTCTGAAAACGGGACAGTGGTCAGGGCAATTACACACAAGCACACAGCTGAGCAGAGGCGCCCGCGGGAAGGACGACATTAGCTGAAAAGGTGGCGTGTAAACATGAACCAACTTTCCGACAAGTCATAAGCACGTGCAGACCGAATAAATATGCTAACTTCTGAAAGCTACAGATTTCAGACAAGGGCGTCAAGCTTCGCATTTCGAGCAGCACATGGACAACACCCGCGGTTCCCCTCGAGTCGAGCCGACGTCATTACCCAGACCCGTCGGTCACTAGCCATAAGACCACTTGACGCCGAGCGCGAAGATTAGGACATATGTCTGCAGGACACGGCGATGGCATCAAAGTGCGTGGTGTTAAAATCGGTTCCCAATTTTCGTCCACATGGTGCAACCGAATACCTCGGACACGTAAGAAGACAAAAGGACATATAATGGAAGGGCCGTATCAGGGAACAACACAAAGCAGAAGTCCCTGATACGCTACGTGCGGCGTCAGCACGGTCATGACCCAGCTACCGCACACAGCCAATGACAGCCGGGGACAGAGCAGAGAGCTGAGGACCAGGCACATACGCAATACTCCCAGCCTGACTGTGCGGCTGCCCAGACTTTCCGCGAGTGGCTCGGATGGCCCATCGGTCCAGTCGATCAGCCCGATCATGTAAAGGATGTCGTGCCATGCTACACCGCAACGCAGCGGGCCACGGCAAAAGGCTCCCTGCCGCCCCTCTGGGATCAAAGTATCCTCCCTAGAGCGAATACCAACACACAGGCCGTGGCAGTCGCCTTGTTGAAAAAGTAGGTGCGCAATTCAGGTGACCTGTGTACCACCTGTGTATTAATGCCAGCCTTGAATTCGTTCTTGCCACGCAGTTATCAACCATTAGGACAAGCAAACCCACTCTGGATATGATCAAGGTGTATTGTCACTTCCTGGAACCCACAGCCACGTCGCAAATGAAACGGTCGACATTCGGTAAATCGGCACCAACATTGACTAAATTTTAGTTGCGGTCGCTCGGGGAAAAGCTCCCAGTTATGAATGTCAAACCAGCAACGCCACAAGTGACATCAAACTCGGTGACGTCACAGCCGCCTATGCGCACCCGCACGGGCATTTACGTTTCACATGTAGGGCTCCTACCCTCCTCCATGGTGATAACGGGAAACATGCCGCCCGCCAGCCGGGGCGGCGAGCCAGGGTAGCGCGCCGTGCTCCTCCCGCCTCGCTCGCCCGGCTCGCCGGCACTAAGACAGCGTCGAAGCAGCCGCTAAACGGGCCTGCGCCGGCCCTCCCTGGCTCACGGGCACGGACCGAACGTCACTCGGCCCTCTGGGCCACGGTGGCCTGCCGGTACACTCTCTGGGTCACGGCCGCAGCCTGCAGCCAGTCGTCCGGCTCTCCGCCGAACAGACAACGGGTGTCCTCTCCAGGTCCAAGTGGAGGCTGCTACCCTCTGACCACGGTCTGACACACACGCGCACCGCCGCCCGCCGTCCGGCGCTGGTGACGGAGGCCAGCCGGATGGTGCACACGCACTGTCGCCGGCCGCAGGCTGGGACGCCGCCTCGGCAGCGAGCGTCGGCCTTTGCCCCGGTACCGACACTTTGCCCCGGGAGCGATACATACGGCCGGCGGTCCACCAGGCTGCGCACTTGACGACCGAGCCGGCCGGCCCCAGCGGCCACGCGACGCGCTGCCAATCTCGGGCCCCTCCCCTCCTCCGCGGTGACGGCTGATAACCCGCCCGGCGGTACCGGCAACCAGGTCACGGTGGGGGGAGCGTGGAGGGGGAGGAGCGGCGGCGACGGTATCCAGTGGTAATCTAAGCACGACAGTCGGTTGCCCCAACGGTACCACTGCCGGGACAGTGGAGGCAGTGCCGGAAGGTGACCCGATACAATTACGGCGGTGCTGTGATTACTCCTTTGCCCGTTCACGATAGGTCAAAATTTGAAGTGAAGACGGGTGAATTGCGATACCGAATCTTCAACGATCACGTCTGGACTGTTCAAGCATATGCCAGGTCTACTGTTTGCATGTTTGCATTTGTATGTAGCTGGGGTCATTGTAGCTCATTTCGCGTATTATATTAAAGTGGGAGGTAAGGTTGTTGTTGATTGCTGGAGTTTGCGGGCGCGCCGACTGCGGTGGTCATTTGGCGCCCATAACGAGTTTTGTTCTATCTATCTAGTGAGCCGCATAAATGATCCAAAAGTTGATGCGTTTGAGAAACAAAAAGATCTGTTGAGATTCCAGAAAGTGTGAGTTGTCTCCTAGCATATCACAGAGGGTGAAGGGCAAGTCATGCTGTTTAAAGTAACGTTGGCATTCTTCCACGAGCCGCGGACGAGATACGATATGCCGAACAGTAAGAACAGCACCACATCGATGACATATGGGCTTATCAGCTCCCTCCAACATATAGCCGTGGGTTGCGTACGTGTGCCCGATGCGTAATCTGCAGACGATCACCTCTTCTCGCCTCATTTTGCGGAAACAAGAGAACCACTGACCCAGCTAGGTTTTATCTCTCGAAGCTTACTGCCATCCATCCAATCCCAACAATGCTGCCACTTGTTGTGCAGGAAGCATGGGAGGCAACCATAGTGGTACAGCTCTTAAAAACTTGACTCATTTCAGCTATGCCCCATTGCAGACCCATAACATGCGATAAATCCTATAATCTGCTAGGAAACATGTGGACTAGTGTTACCTTTTCCCCAAGCAATAGGCGAAGCTACAAGAGCATACCTAAAAATCCTAGACTTGTACAAAGCTGTGAGATGACCATTGTGTCAGTTCCTATACCTCCTGCCATCTTCACTTCCTGCATCCCTGTGGAAAGCCTTGAGAAAGCAAGGAACCTAGCAGGGATATTACTATGAAAGATGAAACATCAAGTAGATAGTGCAGTCACAGTCTTACAATAACAAACTCAATATGAAGACACATGCATCTGAAGGCATTTGATACCACACACAAAATGCACACGAAATACACAACTTGACCCATGCAGGCCCTTATAATTACTATAGGCCAGCTGTAATGCAGTGCTCAAACTCTGAGGTGTAGATATTAAACAGCTCTCTGACATCCCAGCTTACACAGCTGGTTGCAGAGCACCATTTCATAATTCCCTGAGGCTACCTGATGCCAGTGTGGACCAGAGCATTTACCAGTTATATTGTATCAATATGCCTAGCTGGACAACTGAACATAATGCCTTTTGCAGCTTCAATTTTGATCAGATACTGAATGTTGTGTCTCAGTGTCTCAGTCATATGAGAGCCTAGCCTTCAATCCCCCTCCCCCACCCATGGCAGGGTGGGTTTAAGTCACCTCAGGTGCTTGATATTTGTCCCTGACTGGAATGATCTGCATCCAGTGATTGAGGCCAACCTAAAGGTCAGGTGAGGTCACATCAAAGGGTAAGACAACCACACCACACAACATGGCTGGCAAAGTTTTTACCATACAACTCTGCCCCAGACTCACAATTTCATGATGCTGCATGCAACAAGCTTTGCACAGTATGAGTACTGATCACAAAATCCATTGTTCAAAAGGTTTAGACCAAATCTTAAAAGATGTGATAATGATGGCTGGGGTTAAGGATGCACTGATGTTGAGGTCGACCTACACCACATCAACTTTCCTAGCTGAAAGCTGCAATGAGAATATTGCATATTTGAAGATATTGGAGTATGCAGCAAATGTGATGAAATTAGCTCACCTTTAAATGTTGGTATACTTTCAGTGGAAAAGGCTGCTCTATGAAATACAGTTTCTATGTTCAGAATATCCACTCCTCAAAACACCATTGTTTGATTACATCATCATACCTTGCACAACATTGAAAGCCAATTGACAGCCATCATATATAGCCGTCATGCTTACAGAACCATGGGATGCACCATGAAATTCATGCATGAGATTGGGATCATACATGAAAATGCAGGTAGCATGAACTGTGAGCACACAAACATGAGGGTCAGGGTGTACTTTCCTACCTAACGTTAGAAAAAATCATTGTACACCATTCGTCATGTTTAAGGCATGACATATTGTAAATAATCTCAAAACAGGTAGAATCATGCTCCTACCTTCGAATTTCAATAACTTCGATGGCGGGCTCCCGAGCGCCGCGCGCACCGCACCGCCTGGAATCCCCAGCGCCGTTTCCGCGTTGCCGTTGCGTAAATACAATATTTCTGCGTACCAAGAACTGTACAAAATGTACGGGACCAAAGTAAACCATTCGTCATGTTTAAGGCAGGACAACCATAACCTAACTGTGAACCATAAAAATATTTACTAAACATAAACCATATTTACCATAACCATATTTACCATATAAACCATATTAACTGTGAACCATACTATAAACCATAACTATAACTATAAACTATACTATATAACCCATACTATAACTATCAACCATATTTACTGCGAACCATAAAAATGTACGGGGACAAGGTAGCAAGAATCCATGAAATGGGGGATTGGGTGGGGAATGTAAAACAAAATGAGAACATGGCAGCTAAATAAAAGCTCACTATATGGCGCCTATATATGGCATGGAACATGGATGCCAATGAGATGCTGGGTTGAAAGCGATATAGGGTGGGGAGGTTAGGTTAGGTTAGGTTCGGTTAGGTTAGGTTAGGTTAGGTTAGGATATGTTCTGGACTATTCTGGCCTGCGTGTTTCATAAATGTACCTAAACTCGATAAGAAATGGTTTTGGTTGCTTTATTATTGTTACCTTGGTCCCGTACATGTTTTATGGTTCTTGATAAGCAGAAATATTGTGCTTTCGCAACAACATAGAAACGGTGCTTGGAAGTCGAGGCGGTGCGGTGCGGGGCGTGCGGCGCTTGGGAGCTCGCTATCGTATTTATTAAAATTCGAGGCTAGGAGCATGATTCTATCTGTTTTGAAATTATTTACGATATGTTCCGCCTTAAACACGACGAATGGTTTACCTTGGTCCCGTACATTTTGTAGAGTTCTTGGTAAGCAGAAATATTGTATTTACACAACGGCAACGCAGAAACGACGCTGGGGAGTCCAGGCGGTGCGGTGCGCGTGGCGCTCGGGAGCTCGCCATCGAAGTTATTGAAATACGAAGGTAGGAGCATGATTCTACCTGTTTTGAGATGATTTACGATATGTGCCGCCTTGAACACGACAATGGTGTGCAATGATTTTTTCTAACGTTAGGTAGGAAAGTACACCTACACCAAACAGATTTGAACAAGTTGTTGACCAATCAACTTTGTGCCACATTTCCCTTTCCTTCATTTTTCAGCAATGACAAATGCTATAAGCCAACCGGGACTGGGGAAGGGAAAAGACCCTCACAACAGAATACAAATGAACACCTCTAACCATTGAGCAGATGCTGCACCAAGGATCGTCTCTGCAAGAACTATTCCTGAAAGGGATATATGTAGCATGCTACTCACTTTGAGTATCGCTGATCTGCAGCATTTCTGATGTGTCAGGCCCTTACTGAGCATCCATGAAGTAATGTAAATCCCGTTTACAACTTTACGACCTGATGGCTACATCCACCTCAATCCGCAGTCATAACCAAGATACTGCTTAATTCTTTCAAGCAAATGTTGCAAGTATTGAAAACGGCGCAATCACAGCGAAATTAACAAAATGTGCCATGCATTTACCAACGCATGCTAGCACGTATTCCAGCCGGCCTTTCTGCCCGCTCTCCCATCCGCGAATCACGAACAACCACGACACGTAAATTCTGGCGCACAGTACATATATTTTTGCCGCTAACCGGCGGGCGACGTCAGCTGTTTTGACTCGGCAGGCAGTGTGACAGAATATAATTCGGCACAAAAAAGAAGAACACTTTTATTTTGTGCGCATGAAAATTGTATATAGGGGCCAATTTCGACCAACTTATTGAATGGAATGTATGTTTATTTGAGAAAAGATAAATTAAATTTTAAAAAAAGTAGAAAAATGCGGCAGAAGCAAGGGTAACTTTCCAAGGCTACCTTCCAAGGTCAAGTGCACATTTGTAGGACGGGTAACTCGTACCACAAAATATTACTGTTCGATTTCGGATTTATAAGGCATCAGAAATATCACCAGCGTAGGAAATAACGTCTGCTCAAAACTTGGTCGGTCAAGGCCACCTTCAAGGTCAAACGTAATAACAAATGAATTCAAATTCCGTGTCACCAAAAATCATTGGTCAATTTGAACCTTTTTTACGACCGCAATTTTCACCGCAGAAAGACTTAGCGTCCGTCAAAAACTCCAGACTCCTCAATGTCACATTGAATGTGATATTCCAGGTCGCAGGGTGGGAAAATACCTGTCATCGAACACTGCCACCCGATTCCGACTCTTGCAGCATTGGAACATTCACCACAGCCAGACCTGCTGTAAATAAAAAGCCATGTCCTCCCAAAGTCACCCATCAAGATGAAATTCAGGCTCATCTCTGGATGGGCCTTTATTCAAAAAAATGAACTCGCAATTTG